CGGTAACCTCACACACACACACACACAGGCGGTCACCTACCCTGCCGACACCCTGGAGTCTGAGCCCAGCACCACACCTCCATCAAACTCGATGGCGATGATGGTCGTCTACGAAGACAGGAAGTCGAAACTTAGACCTGGTCCTGGACCAATCACCTCATTTATTTATAATGACAGACATGATTGGACGATGTCACCACGACAGCACAGACTCCATTTCCCAGAAGTCAACAGTTCAACCGTGTCATTCAAACGTTGGTGGGACGTCGTGTCTCACAGTCGTCTTTAACCTAACAACTGACCCTTCTTCTGGGGTCAGGGGGTCACTGTGGGGTCAGGGGGTCAGGGGTTGAGAACCCTTCATAAATGTCAAACAAATATAAAAGTCAATATAAATGTAAATATAAACCACTATAACTGTCTGTTCAGTCTAGTTAACTGTCTAGTCTGTCTCTAGGGATGGTTGTTGGGGGGGGGACAGGGGGGGGACGGGGGGTTCTGACCCAGTGGCGGTCGGAGCTGCAGACAGACTTGAGGCAGAACTACTGTAAATTTAAACCAAATCTGGGACTCGTTTCTGCCCCACAGATCCCTCCGCCGGGGGTAATAATATTTATACTGACACGGATGTAACAGAGAGAAAGGGAACTAATGAAGGTGGTTCTTTTGCCCCTCGTTAGCGCTACCTGTCGCCCCTCAGTGTAACAACATGTCCGTACTTACTCCGGTTTTCACCTCTGCTGACAGCCACTCCGGTCCGGTTCCTTCCATGTTCGAACCCAGTCCCTGCCGAGTCTCCGGTACCGACGACGGGAGTCTACCAGCTGTATCTGACGGAGGCTGTGACGTCACCGCTCCGCCGTCAGTCGAACAGGTTCAGCTGGAGCGAACTTCTGTCGTGTGTCCAGGTAAACCGACCGAGTCTCACCACAGACAGACAGACGCCATGTTGATGTCTGTGTTGAAATCGAAAGTTAAATGGTTCCTCCTGTGACGGGGGGAGGGAGGGGGGGGGGGGTGTTAAAATGGATTTCTAACAAGTTGATTCACTCTGTTTCACTCTGACGTCATCAGACACAGTAGAGTCTAGAAGGTGTCTTTCAGTGTGAGGGTCTTTACAGCTTCAGTGTTTCTGCTTTACTGACTGAGTTAGGCAGCTATAGCAGCCGACTGGTCACTGCAGCAACAACCTTTCTTCATAGTTGTGTGTTTTTTACTGTTGTTTTGTCTGACTGTCTAAAATCTGAAGAACGTTCTTTATTGGTTTTAATAAATGTCAAAAATCATGTTCCGATCAGTGAAGAACTTCAGTTTCTGCTAACGTCTGTTAATCTCTGACGTTCTGAACAAAACTTCATTTATTCTTAATTTTTTCTAGAAACTAAATCTCTGTTTTGTACAATTTTCTAACGGCGTTAATTATAAATAATGAATATAGTGAAAAAACAAACCCAAATACGAAGGTGTGTCGTAGTTTATTTTTAACTGGATGAACTTCACAAAAACAAAACAAAAAACATTAAAAACGTATTGATGTCTTTCACAGAGACGACGACCGTTTGGTTCCAGATCTGATTCTAACCATGATTTTAAATGTGACCCGGGGTCAAAGTAACCACCGCAGGTTTAACACCCGTCATTCACTCATTATTTACAAAGTTATTTTTATTCTTATTTTCTTGTCGTCTCCTGAGGTTCCACGTTAATCTGTGCGTTCTCAACATTCGTGAAGGTCGTCAGTCGTCGTGGAACGTGGGCAGCTTGTTTCCAGGTACAACCACGTGCTCCACCCCGCTCTCTGTGATCACCGCCAGGTTAGCCACGCCCCCGCTGACGTTGTCTCGCCCCATGGCTAAAGCCAGAGCTGGGGGGGGGAGGAACAAAAGAAAAAAAAGCGGTTGAGTTGAAGATGTAGACCAACAGACAGGAAGTTGTAACATTTCTTCTTGTTCCTGTTGTTTGTTTTTTGTTTTTTTAAAAGAACTAAAATGTACTGAACTGGATGAACTGTGAAATATAAACAACAACAACAACAACAACAACAACAATAATGTTGACCTGAAGTTAGTTCAGTTACCAGTGATCAACACAGCTCTATCTCTCCAGTCCACACTGTGGCGCTGTCTCCCTCTCTGGTTATTTTACCCATTTTTATATAACAATAATATAAAATGTTTACTTAATTATTATTATTTTATATGATCAATATATTTGTTTCTATCTATGTTTTTGATGTTTAGATTTTAATTTCATTAATTAATAGTATATTTCGGGGGGGGGGGGGCTACTTCCTCAGCAGAATGAACTCTAACGTCTGATCACGGTCGTGTCGTACTGTGTACGGTGTGTACAGGAATGATTCATTTTGTTCTTATTTCTCTCCCCGCCCTAATCAAGATGCTAGCGGGGTTAGCTTCACGGTGGTCTCCCTCAGGAGAACACAGAAGTGTAAAATCCCGACCGTTGATGGCGAACTGAAGACACTCCTCTCTGCTCATGTCGGGTTTGTATTTGGCGTCGACGTAGCCGTAGATGTAAGTGCTGCCGGAGCCGCCGATGGTCACGGGCTGACTGACCAACATCCCGCCCAGAGACACCACGTACACCTGCAGAACCATGGAGAACATGTGTGGGCGTCAGCACCCCTGCTCCTCTGAGCCTCAGCCCACCCCCGACCCTCAGGTTTACCCACCTGGGCTCCTCTCTTCTGGTCCCAGCCGGCGGTGATGAAGCCGGCCTGCAGTTCCTCCTTGTTCCTGTAGCACAGATCCTTCAGTATGGTCGCTGCAGCGATCACCAGAGGGGGGGTCTCCATCTGGACACTGAGACACAGGGAGGGTCAGCAAAGGTCAACAAAGGTCAGCGGCCCTGACAGCTGCCTGATCACTGTCTCACCTGTGGAGGGCCAGGTGGAATTTGGCGGCCTTGGTCACCGCCTGGGCGTCGGCCAGAGAGCCGGACATGCAGCAGAAGACGCGGTCATGAACCTGGATCACCTTGTTTATGGTTTTGGACGACACGTATTCCCTGGAATGGGGGAGACAGGAGGGAGGGAAAGAAATCAGGAGGGAGGCGAGGAAAACCACGATCCACGTCGCGGCCTCGCCATCCTCACCCTCCAATGGACGCCCTGGAGTCTGAGCCAATCACCACGCCTCCATCAAAGGTGGCCGCTAGGATGGTGGTCTGAGGAGGAAGGGGTGAGTGAAGGGGGACACTGGGTGACACACAGCTTCATATAAAGGCACACATATATTCATATATATGTTACTGTAATTTAACATATTTTAGTTACAAAAAAAGTTTTTTTCATTTTCAGAAAAAAGTTTCTGTCTTCACTTTTTAATCGATTTTATCATGAATGTTTATCGGTGAAAAAACATCGAGTGAAAGTTTCTGTCTTTTTGTCGACGTTGTTGTTTTACATTGTATTCACTTTTTAATCGATTTTATCATTAATGTTTATCGGTGAAAAAACATCGAGTCAAACCACACGGGCCAAACTGGCGTGGATGTAACAGGAAGTACGTCAGACACAGCGTTAGCTCACGGGCTAACGGAGCTGAAACTATGGTAAAAACAGGACGTTCCGTTTGTTCACGAACTTTTTCAGAGTAATTTAAATATTTTTTCGATATATAAATATATAGATAATGGACGTCCGCCTCTAAAACCTCTAAAGTCTGAGTCTGGTTTTGATGTCACGGCGCTATGAACCCTGGGACATGTCGTTCTGAGAGGGAGCGGCTGAAACTGAAAGTGTTGAATAGTTTTCTCTCAGAAAATAGAATAAAAAATCGAGTTCCTAAGAATCAAACAACGAACTCGATGTCAACCAGCATCAGTTCACGTGTTTACGCGACTGTTTTCATTTTTACTTCGACACCGTTTCACCGGTTCATGTCCGTCATCTCTGCCTGATCCTCAAAAACCGTCAGTAATTATTATCTAAGAAGATTTTAAAGACTCACTCCGGTGCTGACTCCCTTTATTTGTGCGTCGCAGACTTTTTCCATTTTCACTCCGAAAATCGAAAGACAGGAGGACGAGGACGCGGAGCCGTGTGGTGACGCTGTCAGCAGCAGCAGCAGCACAGACGCTCATCCACGGGCGCAGCACAGTTTGTGATGATGGCGCTATCAAATGTCCTGGAAGCTCCTGCCGCCGGATTCAACTTCGAGAACTCCTCCAGGTAAGGGTTTTCTCCCGACGACCCGTGAACGGCACAGACTGACGACGACGACGGAAGAACAAAGTTAGAAGTTAGAGAAATAATCTGTTATTGACGCAGGTTTTCACCGCAGAACAAAAGTGAAAGTAAAGTTTAAACCTCAACAAAACAACAGAACAACGACCGAGACTTCGATGAACATGAATATTTATTTTTAAATCAACGATATTGGTAAAATATCGTTGATTTAAGTCACTGTGCGTGCGCGCGCCTCGATGGCAGATTTGTCTGTTTTACCAGCACAACGTTTAAACCCTTTGAATGAAGTTTTAAATACTGTAGTAGTTCCACGGACGCAGCACAGTTTGTGATGATGGCGCTATCAAATGTCCTGGAAGCTCCTGCCGCCGGATTCAACTTCGAGAACTCCTCCAGGTAAGGGTTTTCTCCCGACGACCCGTGAACGGCACAGACTGACGACGACGACGGAAGAACAAAGTTAGAAGTTAGAGAAATAATCTGTTATTGACGCAGGTTTTCACCGCAGAACAAAAGTGAAAGTAAAGTTTAAACCTCAACAAAACAACAGAACAACGACCGAGACTTCGATGAACATGAATATTTATTTTTAAATCAACGATATTGGTAAAATATCGTTGATTTAAGTCTCTCTGTGTGTGTGCGTGCGTGCGTGCGTGCGACCCACAGATACACGCTGTTGTCTGTTTTACCAGCACAACGTTTAAACCCTTTGAATGAAGTTTTAAATACTGTAGTAGTACTACAGTATTTTATAGAATTACTTCAACCATGTTGACATTTGGGTTGGATTTAAAGTCGGGAAAAAAGTGGGAATTATTATTATTTTGGCAGTTTATATTTTTTTAAACTGATGAACTAAAATAACCATAGGCAGAAAAAACAGGAGTGATGTCATCACTGGAACTGTGACGTCATCACCTCTGACCAACAGTTCCAGGTCCAGCACCAGGAACATGAATCTGCCAGACGACTGATGCTAGCTGAAACAGCGCAGCTTCAGTTTGGACTCATCTGTGAAACTTGTGTTTTCCTCCAATAGAAACGCTGCGTTACAGGCCGGTCTGGAAGGACAGACTCCTCGACCAATGAAAACAGGCACCACCATAGCAGGAGTGGTGTTCAAGGCGAGTTTACACCGCTGCTCCACAGCTGTCACAGGCCGGGGCCGCTGACCTGAGGTTGAAGCACCCACAGATACACGCTGGAGTTGATGGGATGTTAAAATCCCTCCGTGCATCGTGGGTTTTTAATATTTAAAAATGTGTTTGTGTATTTTGGATTTTTCGCTCTATCGCGGACTTTTGCAGTATATATAAAAAGTTTTTACTTTCCAACATTTTCATAATTTTTGTGATGAAATAACTGTTTTCTAGAAGTAAAAAAAAAATAATTTAAAGACATTTTGAGTGTTCCAGAAAATAACCTGTACGTACGGGTGAACGAGATTCATCAACGCTCCGTTGTTTTTTCTTCTTTCTTCTTTCCTTCTCCTGTGTTTTATCCTCTGTTACAGGACGGCGTGGTGCTCGGAGCCGACACCAGAGCCACCAGCAGTGAAGTGGTGGCCGATAAAATGTGTTCCAAGATCCATTACATGGCCCCCAACATTTAGTGAGTCTTTTTATTTAAATCAAAAACAACAAAAACATTGAAACTCAGTTTAACGTACAAACAGTTAATTATAAACAAAAGTCTTTTTAAAAAGACAAATACTTTTTTTATCTGGATTATTATTATTATTGTTGTTGGACTGAGGAATCTGGATTATTATTATTGTTGTTGGACTGAGGACTTGTTTTCTCTCTCGCTCTCTTTCCGTGGTTCCTCCCATGTCTTTGATTCTCGCTGCTGCCCTCAGCTGTTGTGGAGCAGGTACTGCAGCAGATACAGAGAAGACCACCGACCTGGTGGCCTCCAACCTCACCATCTTCTCCCTGAACAGCGGCAGGAAGCCTCGGGTCGTCATGGCCGTCAACATCCTGCAGGACCTGTTGTACAGGTGTGTGCTGGATTTTCAAAGTAAAAGCCTTGACGTCCGTTCGCTGCTGTGGTCTGACCCAGGCCGTCCTGTTCTTCAGGTACCGTGGACAAATCGGTGCCAGTCTGATACTGGGAGGAGTGGACTGTACTGGGAGCCACCTGTACACAGTGGGGCCGTACGGCAGTGTGGACAAGAAGCCCTACCTGGCCATGGGTATGAGCTCTGACACTGTGGTGTTAGCGCCACCTACTGTATGTGTTGTAAACTGTACACATTTGCCTCACAGACTTGTCTTCATACAAAATCCGTCTGCTGTTTGTTTTTGGAACTGCACCTTTTTATTTAGAAACAGGTTTAATAGATTTTTCACAATAAAACCTTTTACTGTGTTGTATTTTAATCTGGCGGTCCTGCAGGGTCTGGTAATCTGGCTGCGATGGGGATCATGGAGGACGGCTTCAGACCTGACCTGGAGGTAAAATGATCTGTGATGACAGAACACCCACAAGTCTTTGAGTCCAGGACCCTGTCCCTCGGTTCTGGTCTGTTCTCATGCTGTGTCCACTCCTCAGCTGGACCAGGCCAAGCAGCTGGTGCGTTCGGCCATCCAGGCAGGGATCCTGAACGACCTGGGCTCAGGCCACAACATCGACCTCTGTGTCATCACCGACCGGGGAGTGGACTACATCAGGCCGTACCAGGAGTCCCAGTACAAGGACCACAGGTACCGTAGGAGGAGAGAACTTCTGTGTCTGTCACGTGATGACCATCGCCATCATGTGGTCACTGTGTCACCGTGACGTAGAGCAGCGATTCCCGACCAGTGTGCTGTGGAAAATGATCCAAAATCACTTCATTTGTCCCAAAACTATTATTTATTTATTCCGTATAATTTTTCTTTGCTCGTCGAAGTGTAAAAGGCAGAACATTTAAATCCTCTACTGCTAGGTGGCAGCAGATGGCGATGAAAACTAACAAAAAAGATAATCAGCGCTGTTGAAGAAGATCTTTGTGAGTGTCTTTCTTCAATTCCTGCCTGTATATCAGCGTTGTCTTCAACTAAACAGGCTGAGGTTTCAGTCAACGATGAGGTCATTTAAACCAGAAGATTATATTTTATTTTGTTATATTTCATTGGTGGTGTGACGTGACTCCACAAAGGTTGGGAAACACTGACGTAGAAGATAAAAGTTTGATTTGTCCATTAGTCAAATCCTTCGATCTCCCTGAACCGACCCTCGTCTGAAGAACAGCATTTTTTAAACTTTTTCTAAAAAATCTAATACGCGTTCTTATTCTGCTCTGAAGGACAAACAAATACAGATTCCGTCAGGGCACCACCCCAGTCCTGACTGACACGGTGGTGCCGTTGGAGCTGGAGGTGGTGGAGGAGAAGGTGCAGCAGATGGAGACCTCCTGAACCAGGGGCGTACCAGGTGTGGAACCATAAGTACGACCAAAAACAAAACAATTTCCTGCCTGGAGTCAAACACACCGAGACCAAGACTGGAAGACACTTTACACAGAATTCAAATAAAAACTTCCTGACGATTTCCTACTGAAACACTTGGGTTTTTTGTGTCTTTCTGACCTGATGGAAATAAAACTCACTAATTTGTTGGTGTTTTTCTGTCTCTGTGACTCTGTGTGGCTTCTGTCGACCGCTCTAAAACCTGTGTTCACCTGTCCTGCCCGGAGACCGATGACGAAGAAAAGCTGAATTCCTATTGGTTTTATTCTTTTCGACGTAAAATAAACATCAAGCAGCGGGTTTTTAAATTAAATATTTATAGATAAATACGTTTTATCCACTTTTCTGTTTTGGTTTGATGTTAATTTTCATTAAAGTTAGAGATTACAAAAAAAAAACAAGTGGAACATTTAATTAAAAAACTTTCACTTTCGAATTCGGGTTTTTGTCGAGGAGGAAACATTTTCTTGACGCATTCGTCGGACCGTCGTCGTCGTTTGTTTAGCAGAAACTATCACCTACAGGAGTCATTTAGTCAGGAGACATTTATAAAGCCGCCGTTTTCCACTTCATCTTCATCTTTTAAACACTATGGCTCTTTTTGACGTCAGCGGCTTCAAACCGGACTCTGAGATCCGGGCTGCCGGGAGGACGCGTCTTTTGGATCGAACCAATCACTACAGCTTCGGGAGCAGAACTCCAGAGTTCGCAGTTCCTGTTGGAGAAGACGTGAGTGTTCTTATATTTCAGTTCACGGTTTCTGTTCGAAAAAAACGGCCGGTGAGTCGGTGACGCCGCGTCAGACGCCGGTGTCGATGACAACGATCTTTTTACTGCTGTGTAAGTTTCACCGAGTGAAGCAGCGACAGTCTGGAAGATTCTGGAAGATTAATTAGTGACGACGTGAATTAAACGGTTCATTTGACTTTCTCTTTCTCTCTCTCTCTCTCTCTCTCTGTCTCTGACCACTGACTCTGGGCTCATGACGTTATTTATTTATTTATTGTTTTTTTTTTCATCATTTTTTATTCTTATTTCTGTTATTTATTTATTTATTTTTTCATCATTTTTTATTCTTATTTCTGCCAAACTTTTCCCCAAATGTTGAATCTTCCGAGTCCATGGAGCGACTCAGGTTGACGACGCTGTAGCGACTCTGATCACGTGACACGTACATTCAGGAATCCTCCATCTTGATCATTAGTGAAGGGTTAAAGGTCAAAACTGTTACTAATAGCTACTTTGGACTGGTCATATATTTAAAGTATTTATATACTGTATATACACACATCATACTAATTTAACGTAGAATAACAATGGTATAATAAAGATATATTAATAAATAATAATTGAGGTTACAGTCAACAACACTATCTACTAACTAATCTACTAACATCCAATATTCTTTTGTCAAAGAGAACCCCCGAGGGATTCATAAAGTTCTATTTAAAAACAAATCCATGGCTCGTGGCCCAGCTGCGTCACCCTGACTGTCTCCTGGTTCTGTCTCAGCCCTCAGGGTTCCTGAAGTCGTGTAACCACGAGGGCGGCGTGTGCATCGACCTGAACCACGGCACCACCACCCTGGCCTTCAAGTTCAAACACGGCGTCATCGTGGCGGTGGACTCCAGGGCCTCGGCCGGCCGCTACTTAGGTAAGAACACACTCTGACCTTCAGGATGTAGTGAGTTGAACCACCGTCTGATTCCTGGTGTTCTGGCTCAAACGTCACAGCCTCCAACGACGTCAACAAAGTGATCGAGATCAACCCGTTCCTGCTGGGAACCATGTCGGGCAGCGCCGCCGACTGTCAGTACTGGGAGAGACTGCTGGCCAAGGAGTGCAGGTGCGACTCCCGTCTTGACTGAGTCTGGGTGGGGGGGCTGGCGGGGACCTGATGTGACTCTTGTGTTTGTTCAGTTTGTACCGACTGAGGAACAACCAGAGGATCTCCGTGGCTGCTGCCTCCAAACTGCTGTCCAACATGATGCTGGGCTACAGGGGCATGGGTCTGTCTGTGGGCAGCATGATCTGTGGCTGGGACAAGAAGGTTGGTGGACGTTCATCTCTGTGGGCAGAATCATTCATGCCATTTACCCCAGAGAACTGCCACTGGGGTAAACACACACACACACACACCAGTGAGTGGTGTCAGTACAGAGATAGAAGATACCAGTCTGACCTGTGCCACAGCAGCAGTTTCTTAATAATTAATAATTATGTTAATAATTATACTGTATATAATATATATAATTTAATAATAAGGATAATTAATTTAATTTAATTACCCCCTCCATCTGAACATCAAAAACATAGATATAAACAAATATATTGATCATATAAAAATAAAAATAATGAAGAAAACATTTTATATAATTGTTATAAAAATGGGTAAAATAACCAGAGAGAGAGAGACAGCGCCACAGTGTGGAGTGGAGAGGTAGAGCTGGGTTGATCACTGGTAACTAGATGTTTCCTGGTATAACGAGGAAAATCTTGCAAAAGTTGTTTACTGGAAACTGTGAAAACTGTTTATAATATCTTCAGTCGGACAGACAGACGGTCGGTCAGTGGGTCGGTCAGTTAGACAGACGGTTGGTCAGTTAGACAGACGGTCGGTCAATGGGTCGGTCAGTTAGACAGACGGTCGGTCAGTTAGACAGACGGTCGGTCAGT